TGCGCGCGCCTGCTGCTGCTGCTGGAACCCGCCGCCGCGCCCGAGCCCACGATATCCTCCCCGGAATCCGCCGCGCCCACGACGCCCGCCGAAGCCGCCACGCGGCTCGTAACCGTACGCGCCCCCGTTGTACGAGCCCCGCCGCGGGCGGCCTGGGGAGTACTCTACGTCGCGCGGCGGGCGCTCCGCCTGGGCCTGGTGCGGCGGCTGGTACTCCGGTTCGCGCGGCGGAGGCGGGGGCGCCCGGGGAACGTAGGCGGCGACGGGCGCGTCCTCGCGCGGGTAGGGTACACCGTAGCGGAACCCGTAGTCCTTGACCTCCCACTCGGACGCCTCCCCGTTCCCGTTCGCGTTCCCGCCGGCGGTCCCCGTCCCATTCATGCCCCCCCCGCCCGGACTCGTCGAGCCCTCGCTTTCCATCGGTGTGCCAGTCCCGTTCGGCGGCGGGAGCATCCCCTGCCCCTGGCCCTGCATCGGCGGTGGCGGCGGCGCCATCCCATACGTGCCCATCGGCACTCCCATCCCCTGCATCGGCATCTGTATCGACGGCGGCATCCCCACCCCATACGCCATCATCGGCGGCGGCGGATACCCCGTGTACCCGTTCTCGTACCCATACCCCGGATACACCGGATACGGATACCCACCGCCCGCCCCTCCCCCGGCCCCAGGCACCTCCTCGCGCGTCGTACCAAACTCCCAGGGCCCCCCGCCGCCGGCGCTGATGGCGGCAGGCTCGAGCGTGAGGTCGACGACGGGCGCGTCGACACCGAGGTGGCGTTCGCGGGCGCGCGGGGAGACGCCGATTGCGAATATGGGCGAGCGGGCGCCAGCGGGGTCGGCGGTGGCGGAAGGGGTAGAGTCTGGCGCACCCCACGCACGGTCGGCGGGCCACACCGGCTCAGCGGCGCGCCACGCGGACTCCCTGGCGGGCGCGGAAGCGGACGCGGGAAAGTGCGGCGGCGGCGGCGGGCTCGTGCTTGCGCTCGCGAGCCCCGTGGCTACAGTGGCGCTCGGCGGGAGCGTGTCCGTATTCGTGTCCGCTGTCGTGTTTATAGTCGCGTTGTCGTTTACGTTTACGTCCGCCGTGGTCGCATTGTCATTTGCATTCGCGCCTTCCCCGCTTGCCCCCGCACCCGCAAGTGCCGCCAGCCCCGAGTCCACGCTCCCAAACCCAAACACAACGCCGCCCCCGCCTCTCTGCCCCACTCCAGCACTCTTGCCCATACTCCCGAGCGCGCCTAGACTCGCCGACACGGACACCGCGCCCGACTCGGCGGGCGGCGGCGGGCGCTCGGGCTGCTGCTCGACCCGCTGCTGTGGCGCGCCCTCGCCTACCCACTCCTGCATCTCCTGTTTGCTACCCAAGGACGACTGTTGCTGCTCCTGTGGCGGCGGCTGAGGCGGCGACGCCCACCACCCCATCCCGCCCTGCCCTGGCACAGCCCACCCTTCTCTCCCTTCCTCTCCCCCTCCCCCGGCCCAATACCACGGCACCGGCACCGGCGCGCCCTCGTACCCATACGGCCCAGGCGCGCCATGGCCATAATACTGCGACGGCGGCGGCGGGGCATACATCTGCTGTTGTTGCTGCTGCTGCTGCTGCTGCTGCTGCTGCTGGGGATGCTGTTGATGTGGCAGCGGCAGCGGCGCCGCCGGCGGGAGGTACATCCACTGGCGCTGCTGCTGCGCATACTCCTCGCCCTGCTGCACGAAGCGCTGCCCCGCCTCCCCCTCGCGCTCCCTCCCCCGGGTCTGCGGCGGGCCCGGAGCCGGAACCTGCACCTGCAGCACTTCCTCCCCACCGATGCTCCCCGCGCGGCTCGTCCGCCCGCTACGTCCGCTCTGGCTCTGGCTCGCGCTCTGGCTCGCGCTGGTGCTATGGCTCTGGCTCTGGCTCTTCCGCCCGCCGCGCCCGTACCCGTACCCGTTCCCATACCCGTTCCCATACCCCTCCCTCCCGTCCCGCCCATACCCGTACCCATCGCGCTCCCTCGCATGATACCCAGTCCCATTTCCACTCCCATACCCGTCCCGCTCCCGCGCATAATACCCGCCCCCATTGCCCCGCGCGTTGCCCCCCTCGCGCTCGCGGCTGTACCCCCCGTACCCGTCCTCCTTCCTCCCACTCCCACTACCATTATACTCCTCCCGCCGCCCATGGCCATTACCCGCAAACCCGTTCCCGTTCCCATTCCCATTGGCGCGCCGCTGCTGCTCCGCGGCCGCGCGCAGCTCCTCGGGCGGGATCACGACCCACTTGCGCGCGCGCGGCTTGCCGCCCCCGTTCCCGTTCGCGCTTGCCGTGGTGGCGGACGAAGACACGGACGGCGCGGCCGAGGCGGTGGTGGACGGCGCGGTCGACGTGCTCGAGCTTGTGGACGTATTCCCCGCAGACGCAGAGGGGACGGCGGGGGCGGGCGACGTCATCCCCGAGGTCACGCCGGAGGTTACTCCCGACGCACCTCCCCGTGCTGGCGACGCCGCGCCCGACACGGACGCGGACGCAGGATTTGGGCTCGTGGGCTCGGGCGCGGGCGCCGGATTGGCATTGGCAAACGTCGAGCCCGAGGTCGGCACAAGGTCTGGACTCGGACTAGGATTGGAATTGGGGTTGGGACTCGGATTCGGATTCGGAGGCGCGCTAGCCACCGTAACTGGGGCTGGGGCTGGACTCGGACTACTCGCATACCGCGTCGCGCCGGTTTTGCTGCTCTCGCCGTCTCCCTCTCCCTCTGCATCCACGCTCGGAGCCAGAGTGTTCTGCGCTTGCGCTTGCAACTGAAGGGGAGGCGGGTGCGCTTGTATCTCAGATGCTGATGCGGATGCGGATACCGATGTCGGCGTGGGCGGAGCTGCATCAAATAAAAATAAGCCAATGTTAGCATTACGAAAGAGGAGGGCAGGATAAATAGAAGAAATGAGGAAGCGAGGAAGTGGGCGCAAAAAAAGGATGCCGCCCGGACGTCCAAAATAAAATAAGAACTGAACACCGCGCGACGATGCCCAATACGAATGAAAAAGAAGGCGGACAAAAACGCACCCTGTGTCTCTGTCTGTACCTGTACCTGTGGTACGTGCACTTGGGACGAGGACGCGGGTATCGCCGTGGATGGGGGTGCGGAGGGTGGAGAGGCTGTAAATGAAAGAAAGAAAAAAGAGGAGTGAGTACGTGGTGGGGAAGGAGGGAGGAGAAGGAAAAGGAGGACGTTGAAAGGAAGGGGATGAGAAAGAGAAATGTAAGGATCACGTGAAGTGGCGCCCCTTGAAAGATTAGAAGAAATAAAATAAAAGGGTCGAAGGAGGAATGCTGTGCCCCTGGAAAACCAAAACAAGAAGGGCCGCTCGAAAAGGAAAAGCCCCAGCGGATACAGAACGTTCGGACGAGACCAAAATAAAGTCCCCAATATCAAGCCACGACACACACCTTTGGGGCCCGGGGCCTGCACTTGCTGTGCGGAGGGGGACGGTGAGGGTGCGGATGTGGATGCGGGCGGGGAGGGGGGCCGCGAGGCTGTATGGAATATATGAGTATCCGGCAACAAGCAAGAAGAAAAGGACAAGAAAAGGGGCAAATTCCTCTAAGCTGCCGTAGGCCCGGATAACACGACAAATCATCGATAATATTAAGAGGACCACGCACCCTTTTCATTGCCATTCCCTCGCACGCTACCGTTGCCGTTGGCACGCGCGACGGTCGGCCAGGGGTCCGCGTCCCGCTTTTGCTGCGGTGCCACCTTTCCCGGTGGCAGACTCGAATTGCGCGAATTCGCACTGGTCGCACTCGCCGAGTTGCCCGCAGTGGATGTCCGCGAGCGGGACTGGGACGCGAGCTTAGGCGGGAGGCGGACGACGAACGGGTCGCGCTCTTCCTCCTCCTCCTTCTCGTTTTCCTGATCCGCCCGGCTTGACGACGCCGACAAATTGGATGATGAAGAAGCAGGGGTTGCGGCGGACGCGGGTGCGGTAGGGGCAAGTGTTGTAGTGGACGAGGACGACGGTGGGAGAGCACCAGAGGAAGAGGGAGCCGATGAGGACGCAGCAGACGCAGCAGGTGGCACGGGGGCGGGGGCGGCCCGCCTGGCAGCGCGCAGTGCCCAGACATTTACCGGGGGCGACTTTGCGGGTTGGGGTGTGGGTGGCATTGCGTTTGCGGTTTGAGGGGGTGTTGGAGACGGGTTCGGGCTTGGTTTCGGAGATGGAAGTGTATTTTGAATTGGAATCGCGATTGGGGTCGGGGGTGCGGGAAAGGCGATCGCAGGGTCAATCACTGTCCTGCTTGTACCGCTCCTACTTGCACTCGCAGATGGACCACTACTTGTGCTTGTGGTCGTTTTATTATTTGCCCTGTTCCCCTTTGCGCGCTCTGCGTAGGAGACTTGGGGCACCAGAGCTGGCGCTGGCATCCTACAATTCCGCTCGCTAGTCCAATCCGATTTGTCGGGAGGGGATGGAGTGCGGATGAGATTGGGTGGGAGGGAGAGACTGGATTCCGTGTTTGCGAGTGTTGGAGTCGGCTCCCCTTGGTCTCAGTCAGCCTCCCACTCCTGCGGTCCTCCGTCCCCGTACTGTCAGATTCACTCGCCGCCAATCCCTGCGGTCTATTCCCGCACCTCTCATCCATCGATGGACTATGTGCCGGCCATCGATGAATTCCCATCTCATGCGGCGTTCATCAATGTGTTCACTCTCGTGCTTCCGAGTTATCCATCGCCATCTACTCAGTAACGTTACTACCACCTCTCCGAACCTTCCCCGTATTTGATTCGCACTCGGACTCGGTTCTGCCCCCAACCGAAGGCGTTTCTGTACTCCCGAAAGCCGCGTGTATCCGTACCAAATTGGCCGTCATGCGCGCTGTCGACCAACTGGCAGCCGAAGAGCCCGATGGGCGCGCACGGAGCATATATGCTCAGCGAATTTCCGTTTCGAATTCCTCTGAAATCGTGGTATCCTGATTCCTTTTCGTGCTGTTATTCTCTTTCCCTCTCAGTATCACTATCCTTGTAGATCAGTGGCAGATCTTGTCCATGTCTTCCTCCTACAGAGGCAACGCGGGTTCGACTCCCGCCGAGGATATACACCCCTTTTATCTCATCTTTTTCCCCTGTTTTATTTTTCAGGACCCGTTCTGAACCGATATCTCCCGCTTGGCGAAAAATACTTCGTTTAGGCGCTCTCCGCCGTCCTCTGCTCCCCTTTTCCTATTTCCCCTGTCTTACTGAAATTCTCTTTTTCCCTTCTCCGCTTGTTTATAGTTACATGTTTACATTCAAACTACCGAGGTCAGACCGAGATCTAGGCCACGACGGAGCGTGCTAGACGTCTCTACGCCATATCACTGGGGCCCTTGTAGGCCCTTGTGGATCAAGGAGATCTCCCCTGTTCAATGTTTAGTTAACTCTCTTATTGTAGGGATGTTGTGGGTTCGATTCTCGCCAAGGGCAAGGCTCCGGAAGACGTGTTTTTTGCTCTTTCCTCCTGGATTGCATTGACCGTTCCCCTTTGCTTTTTCCTAGATCCTCCCTCCTTTTCTCTTCCCATAGCACTGCTCGCACGATATGAAGCTAGCCCTGGCAGTGGTACAGCTTGACGAGATCTCTTACAGAGGTGTTGTGGTTCAATTCCCGCCGGGAGCATCCTCAAAGATGTTTTTTTTTTTTGCCGCACGGCCACTTCTACTCTTTCTTCGGGCCTCAACCCCGGGGTTCTCTCCGCCTTTCCCTTCCCTTCGCTTTCCTTTTTCCCGTGTTCTCCCAAATCCTCCGTCTTTCCTCTACTCTCCATCAGCCCATGCTTTGTGTAGCAAGTCCTCGTAGATCAAGTAGATCTCCTCTGTTCAATATCGGGGTTGGCACCACTGACGGAGGCGATGCGGGTTTGATTCCCGTCGGGGACATGGCAATTTGCCCTTTTTCTCTCTTCCTATACTTTCCTGTACGCCTCGCCCTCGGAATATATGATCAATTTTGACCGCTCCTGCAAGAGACCCAGTTCTCATCTCACCCCCGCACTCCTCCTCTATTTCCTGAGTTCTCTTCTCTTTTCTGCACACTCTTCTGCATCCCGCACGCTATCAAGTTCTCGTGGATCGAGGAGATCTCCTCCGTCAGCATACAAGGACAACGGTGAATTATGGAGATGATGTGAGTTCAACTCTCACCGAGGAACCTGTGCGCTTTCTTTTTCCTCTTTTTCATTGAACTTCATTCTGTGATCAATACCTCGCTGTTTTTCTCCGCGTGTCGCGGATAACTAACGTGCCAAGTAGTTCAGGTTGTTCCCTCTTCGCGCGCTCTCTTTCTCTCCAGTCCCACCGCTATGGTATCTGAATCCTACTTACTCTTTTGCGTTCTTTGACAGTTGGGCCTTCGTAGATCAGCGGTAGATCTTCTCTGTCAATTATTCGTTTGACTCCCGCCGAGGGCATAATTGGATCTTCTCTTTTTTTTTTTGTTCTTCCCAGGTTTTCTGTTCTCGGAATACGTCGAGACCCCTGGGACCCCTCTCTTTTTCCTCCTTTTTCTTTTCTCCGCACCCCCTCACACCCGATAGCAAGGCCTCGTAGATCACCTTCTCGAATATGCCTGCCCGAGAACACTTTTTTTTATTCTCGTTGTGGTTACATGTAACGATCTGACTCAACTTGAATGTCCGAGCCCCCTATCTCAAATTTAAATACGTTCCCACGGTTCAAATCAACAACCACAATCATTGCGTGTCGAAAACGTAAAACCAGATTAAATCACACTGTTCATCCTCTGATTTGGCCACAACGGTAATTCTTACAGAAGGAATCCTGGCCGAATAAAACACGGAATTGCGGCCTCCGAGGATAGCTCACACTGATGCCCCGAATTTGTCGCTGGTTTCTATCAGAGGCATAGTTATATTATCAACTGAATCACAGAAATCTCAGGCTCAATAATACAGAACTAGCATCGCACCTACACTCTCTCCCAGACATGTTCATAATTCCACGCCTTCTCTCCATCCACCACTAACTCAAACCCGATCGTCCACCGCGCCTCGTCGGACGAGTCGAAGGTCAGATGCCCAAATTTGGAAGCGCCGTGCGGCAGGTTGAATACCGTCTCTTCATGCGGGACATATTCGCGCAAGAACGGGAGGTAGAAGAATGACAGCGGCGAGGTGGAGAACTCAATTATAGTGTGGGAGTCTGGGTACCCGGGCGGGGGCCGAAATTTCACCGTCGCTGTACATACATGAGATCTAAAATGCCAGGGACATATGGATCGAAGGACACACCGTGTTCGTGTCTGTCACCGCTGATTATCACGCCGCCCCCAGCGCGCCAGAGCGCCCGAAATATAATCTCGCGCTCGTTCAGATAACCCGCCCAACTGTCCATCGCGTCCGCGCCTTTGCTCCAGTTCTACGCAACAGCGGGTTAAATGATTAGAATCATCTTTGGTTGAACACGCACTCGTGTCATCGGAACCCCAGAAACAACGACCTTCCACCCCTCCTCGGCCACAATCCAGCGCAGCAACTCGTCCAATTGCTCGGCACCCAACATTGTGCGCGTGCCCGTTCCGCCGTCCGCCTTCGCCGGCGGCGGCGCACGATACGTCCGCGTGTCCAACACGAAGAACGAGGCGTCACCGCGCCGGAATTGTGTATATGTCTTCCGCGCGTCGTTGTCCGGGCGCGGCGGGTTCGCGGCACGCTGGTAGTGTTCAAATGGGTCCATGGCGCGCGCGTACATGGCCTAGCCCTATCGTTCAACCAAATACTTGTTTGCATCAACCATGCGTACCTTACCTCCAGCCATACCGGGGAAGTAGTCATTGACGAGTTCATGGTCGTCGAATACATGGATCCACGGGATATCACGAAGGGTGCGTGTCCAGCTCGGACTCGCATATACCTGCCTATAAAGCTGTCGATAAAACTGCGTCGTTAGCGGCGCAACCTGGACGGGCAGGTCGCTATCTGCGCTCATGGGTCACTCAACATCACATAAGCTTAAATGGGAGTGCGTACAAATAAAGTCTCCCAAGAAGAGCACGAAGTCCGGCGGGGCCTCCTCGGCGTAGCGCGCCGGATGGTGCAATCCTTGGATCCCGAGTGAATGCGAGAGTGGATCGTACGGATAAAAGGGTTTCTGGCACGACGTGCTGATCAGGCTAAATTTCTTTGCGCCCGGCGCACTCGTCAGAAACGATCCCGCTTGGGCGCCGGTCGTGTTGTAGAAGTATCGTGTTCCGGGACGGAGGCCAGTCAGTTGTAATGTTGCCGTATAGTCGGACGTCTCGGTCAGCGCTGGAATTTTCAAGGTTGTCGTCTCCGAGCCTGTTGCGTCGGCGTAGGTGAGCTGCAGCCGTTGTGCCGATGGATCCCGGAGCACGATCCGGGCGCTGGTCGAGTCGACATAGCCCGTCCGCGAGAAAACCAGTGATTCTGAACGATGCAGGACGTGTGAGCGATAGACGAAGTCAATGCATGCGAGAAACGCTAGGACGTTGAGCAGTAATCCGAGGAAGCTCGCCGTTGGATTCCTGCGCGAATAGGTCCCAAACAGGACCGGTAAGTGAGTGCTCGGCGTCGGAATGCTCGATCGGCTGGATGTTCGGACACGGTGCCGGGAAAACACGAACGAGGCGAGGGAAATTGCGAAGGCGCCCGTGATTCTGGGTATGAACCGGTATCCAAGGGGCAGTTAGGGCTTGCTATCAGGTCCACCCCCGTCGTTCCTAGCCGTACGTACCATACGAACGAACTGGAAGGCCGTCACGCGAAGATACATCGTCGACGCCGCGCTGATCATCCACAACGCTTGCTCTGTGACCATCGTTAGGAGCGGAACGTCGGTAGTAATCATGATGTCGAAGTCACAGAAATGTCAACTTACTATTCTTGCGACAAACGTGCCCGTGTCGTGGGAATTGGACCGACGCGCGGGTATCGACGTCGAGGTTAGGACTCTTTATTCTATGGAGGACCGTCCAGACTTTCAGGTTGGCGAAGTGGATGCTGGGCCCAGATGACTGAAAAGATCCCACAAAGAGTCAAAAGACCGCATCGTTGAGCTTGAACGCACAAAACGCGAAAGCGGATGGTCGGACCAGCCTTGCGAATGCTCGTATGAGTTCAGAATTGGGAAACGCAGGAGTTGAACAAAATAAACACGTGATGTGTGGTTTCTGAACCAAAGTGCCTCCCAGCATATCTCACGTTCCCCCGTGAGACAACCGAGTGTCCGTCTCTGCCGCACTGTCCGCCCAGTCGGTCTTCGGAATAAATACAGAGCTCGAACAACGCACCTTTCGCGCCGTGGCAACCAGGAATGTACCCTCGACGGTCTCGGTACGTCCGTCTGAGAGCTTCACCGAAGCGGTAAGTTTATTTGCGTCTTGTGCTATCCCCACGAGCGTTTTTCTATAGTATCCGAGCTCGACCAGACGGTCGCGGAGGATCCCCTCCAGTTCAGCCTGGCTGACCGTGACTCCGCCACATTGCGCTATCGTCTGCATTCAAGCGATGTGGCACCGAATTCAGTGCAACAGACTCACAAGGTGTACTGTGGGTGTATCGTCGGCGGGTTCGGATCACTCGAATGCCTTGACGTTTTCGGGTCCCTGTGGGATCGTAAGCGGTAATCTGCACTGATTCTGCAGCGGGGGCCGCTGCATCGAAATCGTCGTTCAGTCCTAATATAGACTCGGAGTGTCCGTGGCTAGTCGTGCGTTCGAGTGAGAACATCGATTCTGAAACAATCAACGTACCGCAATGGCAGTTCCGGCTCCGCGGATGGCTTAAACGTGTGGAGGGGCGGATTCTGCGGATATTCTAGCCTTGAAGTCGTGTTTGGCGAGCCATAGTAAGGCCGGCTGGGCCTGCCCCAGCCTATAATCGACGTTGCGTTAATACATATAGAAGACGGGATGAAATTCCCGTACGAGACATCAAGGGTAGATTCAAAGGCAGTACCCACAGGTGATTGTTTATACACCGCGTATACCGACGGACTATTTTCACCGAGTTAGTCGCCGTATCACACACCAGGCTCGTGTTGATGCGAGCCATACGTGTCCGGTATCCAGTGCAAACCACCA